CAGCGTGTGACACCCTGCTTCAGAAACAACCAGGTTTCATAAACCTGTTTATTACAGTCATGGATTTCCCAGACCAGAAATCTTTCTAAACCCTCAATCTCATGCTGCGTGAGAAAATCTATCTCACTCTTCAAAAATAAACTGAGAACTTGGAAAAAAAAATCAAGAGCCGTTGTATGGATTCGGTTGCCTACTCGCCATTCAATCGGAGATGGTTGTAAGTAATGAACTGTAATGATGAATGCATGGAATGGGGCAGGGCCGGCTATGAGGCTCCGGGGCAGAGGGGGTCATATCAGTGAATACACATGTGAGGGCCAGGGGACAGGGAGGGGACTGCTCACCAAGCTGTGTTTGTGTCACTGCCATATTAGATATGCATGGACTGAAAACGATCAGGGAACATGTTTTGAATTGCAGATAAGAAGGCAAAAACATAGTTTTCTATTTTTGCTGTGTAACTCAAATATCCCCAGACCTTGCTAGCCTGTGGGTGTCAAAGAGGCCACAGTAACATTAGACTTTGAACATTGGTAGGCTCTGGGAGAGAGTGGTGAGAGGTGGAGACAGTTTGGCTACATTGAGCCAGTCCTCCAAGGATATACTGATGCTGGCATCAGACCACACTAAAGTACTGGTACTTAGCAAAGACCAATATAAGAGGGATCCTATAGGGTTACTTGATGAGATGCTCATGGTACTGCTTCAGCAGCTGTGGCTCCTTCCCCACTAGCTTTACCAGGTCCAAGGCATTATTTCACCTGCCCAACTCTCCTCCTCCTCCAGACTGCAGAGTCTTTGGGCAGCCTTCCCCAGAAAATGACCCAACTGTAGTGCAGGTGTGCATGTGAAGTGGCTGGCGTGTGTGTGTGTGTGTGTGTGTGTGTGTGTGTGTGTGTGTGTGTGTGTTGCATAGGGCTTCCTGCATAGGAAGGAACAATAGTAGCTGTCTCATCCACAAATATCCGCTACGACTGCCTGCCCTTCTCCAGCCCTGTACACCCACAGTCACCTGTTTGAAATTCATCATTAGAAATTATTTAGGGCTAACAAGCTGCACTTTATTTAAGGTGTAAATACACCTTCTGGGTGAAGGGTTAAGTCTACAAACATTTCTTTATATTTCTATCTCATTTGCCCTCATCACACCTTATCTGAGCACTGAGGAGGGAGACAGGAAGCAGCAGAGCTAGAGGAAGAGGAGGAGAAGAAGGAGGAAAAGAGGGACAGAGGATGAAGGATCCGGGAGGAGCTACACATCGCTCTGAGTGAGACCAGCTGCTCTCTCAAGACGTGCTCTTTCCCTTCCACCTCTAGCTTCTTTGCATTTAAGATGAATCCCAGAAAAATCCCCACTCACAAGGCCTCTCTCTGATGGCACATATATGAAAAGAAAGTTCTCTGGTTTGAGGTTTGGTGCAAACTTTTGCCACTAGCTATGGTGGTTGTTTCCAGCCTCTGGTGGTTTCCTCCCCCGGCCAGTCTCTCAGGCTCCCTTTTTCTCTGGGCAGCCTCTATTGCCAAGCCAACAGGGTTTCTTCCGCAGCTTCTCAGCCACAGCCTGCAAGCATTTGGGATCTAGACGGGGTTCCTCCCAAGTCCTACTGCTCTTCTCCCCTTGGGCCCCTCACCTGCTGAATCCTGGGTCAGGGCACACAACTCAAGACAAGGTCAAGAGAGATCTGCACTCTTCAACCCGGTGCCTCCGGCCCTCTATGGAACTGAGGTCAACTGTCACCTCTTCCTTCTCTTTGAGCTCCTCCCCCAGGAAAGAAGCCACGTGACAAATGCAATAATAAACATGGTGCACTTTCTGTATAGGTCGAAGAGACAAGGAGGAGAGAATCTAGGTCATATAACTCCAGAGAAATGACTTGAAATGCATCTATCTTCCAGAAAGATTTTCAGTGCCTCTTCTCCCCTCCCTGATTCCTCCCTACCAACATGCCAAGAAATTCAGTTTTGTCTCAGCTCTCTTTACTAAATGGTTCTTCAACCCTACTGGCAATGCTCCAGAAGACAAAGTCGCGTCTGTTACATTTCAGCTGTACTAGAGAGTAGTGGTTGGTTAAAAGCAAAGTTTCTGAGCCCAGATTGCCTGGATCAAATCCTAGCTCAAATATGTAGTAGCTGTATGAATTTAGACAACGGATGGAACTTCTGTGTTTCCTCATCTGTAAAATGAAGATAATAGTATCTACTGTACTACTCAGGAGGCTGAGGCAGGAGGTTCATGTGAGCCAGGAGTCAGAGGCTGCAATGAGCTATGATCGCACCACTGCACTCCTTCGTCTGGGTGACACAGTGAGACCCAGTCTCAAACTTAAAAAATAATGATTTCCTAGAGTATTGTTATGAAGTCAAATGAGATAATATATAAAACTTAAAGCAGGGTCTGGCACACTGTAAGTGTCACATGCAAGTAATACAGTGCTTATTTTAAGGATTTATTCTTAGGAGACTGTTTATCAACCACCTTTGTCCATTGAACACCCCCTTGGGGATCTAACCCCCACCCGTGGCACACACCTTTTAAGGATGGCCAGTGCTCTCAACCAGAAGGTGTATGGTGAATGAAATTGCTTCATTGCAATATCTTTAAGCCAACATTCATTCATTCAGGCTTGGAGAAATTCCTCCTCACAGCTTCTTTTAGCTTACTGACTTCTAATCAGTGAATGTACTCCTGCTCCAAAGCTCTTCACCATGCATTACATCACACCGCTTCATTCCACAGTTTTCCATACAACTTCCCCATGTCTTTTCAGTATACCCCCAAATCAACTCGTGCATCTCTGCCCCAGTTCCTGGCTCACACTGGAATCCCTCGTGATAAACGATTATGACATCGGCATACCACAAAAGCACATTTACAATTTTACAGGAAAACAGGGGCAATACAAGCCATAATAAACTGTGAAGCCAAATTTTGCTAAAGATAGCTATCAACCTATGCCTCAAAGCCCAACTACAGTTGTAGGATTTCAGCAGGATGTTCCCATGGTAACCAACATATGTGCAAAGCTTATAAACATATCTTAAGAAAGACTGTGAGTGGAAAACATGCTGCACTGAAGTGGGAAGAGCCAGTTCTAGCCCCAGCTCTGCGGCTGATCAGCTGGGTGGGCTAAGGCAGCTATTTATAACTGACCCACTGTCTCAGACTCTACCAGTATTTTTCAAATGTGAGTTCAGGTTACCTACATCAAAATTGATAGTTATGCTTTTGTAAAATACATATTCTTGGGCTCCATCAGAACTACTAAATCAGAATTTCTGGGTGGGGGAACCAAAAATCACATTTTTAACAAGATGCCCAGGTGATTCTTAAATGCACTAAAATCTGAGAATCACAGGGCTCTCTAATCCTTCCTCCAGTGTGTTAGAGTTCCCTGCTTATTCATGCAGGTCAGAAGTTGATTGCTTGGACCCAAAGAATCATTGCAAAAATCCCTGAGCCACAACCAGGCAGAGAATATGTTGGTCAGAATACTCTATCGTTCAACCAATATTTACCCAGTACTTTCGATATGTCAGGCACTATTCTTAGAATACATCAGTCAAAGTATGACAAATGCCTGCCCCCATGGAGCTCCCATTCTAGTGTATGGAAACAGAGATAATAAATAAGCTGTTAATTAACATAAAGATAGATGAACTATGTAGCATGTAAATAGAGTAAGGAAGGGGGGGTCAGGATGGAGGGCTGTCAAAATTTCTCCAAATTATATGCATCCACAAAAATCAACTTACACGTTTATTACAAAGGCTTGGCAGGCAGGCCCCACTACATCTTGAAGGAGACCTTGGGAATGTAGCAGATGCTCTTGGTGCACTGCCCAATCCCCTTTAGGGCTGATATAACTCCTCTGATATAACCTCACTTCCAACCTCTCTCTTCACCCTGTTCCTTTCACATCCTGTCAATGACTCAATGACTAAGACTGATGGGCCCCTGCCTGAAGGTCGGGCCAAGCTGGTGGTGTAGTTTGCACTCCCTGAGCTCTCTCCTTGCTAGTTTTCCCCTACCATATTCTGCTGTCCTCACTCCCATTGTCTTCAGAGCACTCTTTGATAAATCACTTGCACGAGAATCGAGAATCGCTATCTCCAGTTCTGCTATTAACAGAATCCAGCCTAAGACCGGGTCCTCAAGTAATAGGAGAGGATACTTATGGTGAGGGTCTACAGACTAGGAGGCTTGAAAATTGTTAGGGTTCGCTCTCCCCCAAATCTTTATTGTTCCATTTTCATCCTCAATTTATATGTAAATATTCAGAGTCTCTGGGAGCTTGACATGACCCTGTGCCGGAAAGCAGCAAGGCACTCTGAGATGTACTGCCTGCTATCTGGCCCTCTGTTCTTCTGATTCCTTCACTTTTTCAGCCAGACACTTTCCAAGTGCCAACAATGTAACAGGAACCGTGCTGGGCTTGGGAATACAGCACAAACATAAGGTCCTCAGCATCATACTTAATGTTCTGTCAAACTCTGTTAATGCTTGAAAATGGGGCTGGGCACGGTGGCTCACGTCTGCAATCCCAGCACTTTGGGAGACCGAGGCAGGTGGATTACAAGGTCAAGAGATCAAGACCATCCTGGCAAACATGGTGAAGCCCCATCTCTACTAAAACAAAAAATTAGCTGAGCGTCGTGGCACGCGCTTGTGGTCCCAGCTATTCCGGAGGCTGAAGCAGGAGAATCGCTTGAACCCGGGAGACGGAGGTTGCAGTGAGCTGAGACTGTGACACTGCACTCCAGCCTGGCGACAGTGCGAGAGTGTGTCTCCAAAAAAAAAGAAAAGAAAATGGCCCCAGGTTGTGCGTAATTAGCTGAATTAAAGATCACGTAGCTTGCTCATCAGCAATTTTTTAAAGCCAATTTTGACACATCTTTGCTCAAATAAATGAATCTTAAAGGCCTTCTTGAAGCAGAGAAGGGCGGAGGGGGCAGAAGGGACCAGGGCCGGAGCATGTTCTAATGTAACATGAGAAAACATGTGCACGCCAGCGTTGTTTATTACAAAAAGCAAAGCCCTGCCTTTTCTTCATACACTATTTCTCACACTCCCCCATCAGAGATTGATTTATTTTTTCAGTTACGCTGACGGATGTCCAATGAGACTTTCTTCACACTCTTGACGACACAGACATTCTTGAAATATTTGCAAAGCTAAGAAAATACTTAGGAGGTTTTCTTTCAAATAAATTTTGTAATATTACCTTTCTCTGTTCCTGACATCTTGTGGCAGGGAGGAGGGGTGGGCTGGGGGTTGTGGGGCGGGGGGAGGCAGGTAACAAGAAAAAAAAAATTAAATGGGGGTTTATCTGAAGAAATTTACCAGGGGCCTCAGTGGTGAAGGCCAACCTGCCTGCTAGCCCCAGATAGCTGAGACTAAGGCCTGGGTCGGAGAAGAGGGTCAGGTGAGGGTCTTGAACTGGCAGAGCTCCTCCCGAGGGGCTGAGCAGTCAGAAGCAGTCAGAAGGTTCCAGGTGCCGTCAGAAGCTTGATACAGTAGTCAGAAGCTCTGGGAATACTTGATGGACATGGTTTCCTACAGGCAAAAGGAAATAAACAGTTTTTCATCAGTAAAGGGCTGAGGTCGTTGCCTCCTGGTGTTTTTCACCTGCCGGAGAGAGGAGGGGCTGTAGACTTTAGCAGGGAGACAATGATGGTGACTCAGTGCTGCAAGTTTTCGGCAAGCAGGAAGAGCAGCTGTGTTACTCACAGGCCACTTTCCCTGTGTCTATTCACAAGCCCACCCAAGAAAGATCCCTTGCCTTCGGGGTTCATTTCCTCCCCCGCTTCTCTCTCCTCACGACCAAGAGCAAGGCCTAGAAGAGCAGCACACAGGGAATGGGTGCAGGAGAATCACCGGGCATGGGGGGCCCATGCAGAGGCGGATTCAGGAGCTCCTGGTTGGTGGGACCCCACAGTCTGCATCTCTACCAAGCTCCAGGTAATCCCAATGCCCACGCGGTCTCGGAACTACAGTTGGATAGCGGTGGCCTAGCTGGTTCCAAACCATCTACTCATGCTGCGGGAGGGGAGGAGGAGTTGGCCCATGTGGTTATATTGAAAAAGGTGGTGTTTTTCTGATGACAGCAAATCTCCAATCTTAGCCCTGGAAACTACTCCAGAGATGGAGTGCCGCTGCTATTGCTGTCTCTTACTGCCCTTCTTTCTCCATCACACAGTCCAGCATGACTGATGCTGTGGCCAGCTGCCTCAGTATCTCAGAGCAGGGTAGACCCCTAGAAAAGAACATTCACAAGACACAAAAGCATAAAAAGAAATTTCGCATCCACCAGGCAATTTTCTGCTCAGTCACCCCACCTCCAGCTGCTTTCGGAGCAGCAGCGAGCAGCCATTCAGCAAGGCAGCCTTTCCTCTGCTGTAGGAAGGCATGCTTCTAGCTGGAGCTCACTCCCCCTCTGCAGTAGAGTGTGCTTTTCATTAACAGCCACTCCAGATGAAAGGGCCATTTGCTTCTAAAATGCATAAATGGCTATTTCTTTATTGCTCTCCTAACAGGGGCTGCCCTAACATTGGCATGAAGGGCTTCCAGTTTGCATTTTTCCTGTTTCCCAAGCCGTGCTCATTTTTCACAGCTCTTGAACTCTCTCTCAATTCCAGCCTGCCTGAGTGGGTGAGAGAGCAGAGGATGGGGCAGGGCGGGGGTAGAGGGAGCTCATTAGCCCAGGCTAAGAGTAGGCTTGGCAAGGAGCCAGGGGAGGGAGGCCTGGTAGGTGGAGTTGGCACCTGGCTTGTTGTGTGGATAATGACTCAGGGACCATAAGAGAACCTGGGTAAGGTGCAGTTTGGGCAACAGCAAATAACTGGTTTGGGTCATGGCTGGATGTTTACCGTATTATTTAGAAGGAAAGCTGCAGCTGTGATGATTCCTAAACAGAGAAAGGCAGGCTGACGCAGACATGAAAGCTGTGAAGTCAGAATAAGGTATGCCTGGCGGCTTTGTCTCCAGGATGCTGTGTTCTTTGATTTGTCATAGAGGATGGAGTGGTTCCGAACAGCAGATCACCGTTCAGAAGCATCCTAGCATTAAGTCAATCAGAGAGTGCCCTCCTAGGTGGAGAGGGGGAGGGTAAATTGCTTCAGGAGAAGTAATGACATTGTCTCCTTCTTGGAGGCTACCTCAGCTCACCAAGAGGTCCCTGAAACTGTGCACCTTGGCACTGGCTTCTGCAATGCCAAGTCAGGGCCGGACTGAACTGACAGGTCCTTCAATAATCTGGGATAATCACAACTTTCTTGCCTGGATCGTCTTGGATCTCTTGGGGACATTCTCAGAGGGTATGGGTTTGGGCTAAGCTCTGTGCTGGGAAAAAGGCCCTTGAAGTAGATGGGAGAATTAATATGTTTAAAGGGCTTAGACCATTGTCTAGCACATTATAAGCCCTAAATAAATAATCACTCTTTTTATTAGGCAATCTGATTCATTCCAGAGGTGCCCCCAAACCTCCCCGGAACTGAATGGCACTCGCTGGTCAGAAGTAATCCTGCCCGAGTTTCTGTAATGTATGTTGCGGCAAGTTCTTTACTGATCAAAGAGTAAGCATTTTCCATTGATTTATGTCTTTAACAAAATAATTGAATGAGCATGGGTTTAAAGCTGCTTTCTGAGTAGCAGGGAAAATGAATTAGTTATAGCTGACTCTCAGGGAATGACATGGTAACCCCCACATTTGCCAGCGGTGCTGTAGCAGAACTGAACACTGAAGCCACACTGCCTGGGTTTTACTCCTGGCTCTGCTGCTTCTCAGCTGTGACCTTGGGCAAGCAACTTTACTTCTTTACCTCAGTTTCCTCAACTGTAGATGGGAATGACAAGAGAACCTATCTCAGAGAGTTGTGGTGAGGACTGAGTGGGTTCATGTGTGGAGAGAATTTAGCACAGTGCCTGGCATATAACTAGTGCTACTATACTGTCACCCCTTTGGAGGTACTGGTGTCATTTGTCATGTGTCTGCCAGGGGAAAGAAGGCCAGGAACTACTACTCTGGATTGTCTGTGTGTCATTCCATCAGTAAATTGGTTGGTAACTTGGTTGAGTAGTACTTCTCCTCATGTACTGAACTGTACATGAAGGCAGTGAATTTCCTCTGTTTTATCAATGACTGAATCTCCAACACCTGTAACAGGCCTGGTCCATTGAACAATGTTGGTCCTTGATAAACATCTGTGAAATGTTGAATCAATGAATTAACATAAATTGAAAGGACTTCAGCCAGGCGTGGTGGCTCACACCTGTAGTCCCAGTACTCTGAGAGGCTGAGGTGGGCAGATCACGACATAAGGAGTTCATGACCAGCCTGGCCACCATGGTGAAACCCCGTCTGTACTAAAAAATACAAACATTACCCAGGTGCAGTGGTGCATGCCTGTAATCCCAGCTGCTTGGGAGGCTGAGGCAGGAGAATCACTTGAACCCAGGAGACAGGGGTTGCAGGGGTTGAGATCAAGCCCTGTCACTCCAGCCTGGGTGACAGAGCAAGACTCCCTCTCAAAAGAAAGAAAGAAAGAACTTCATGAGTATCTGCTAGGTTGACAATATTTTTCCAGGGTAAGAATTGTTGTCTGGCTCACTCTGCCTCTGTCTGTCTACTCCATCCTACCGTCCATCCTCAAGTGTCTGCATTTTGCCTAGGGATTAAGCATCAGGGGAGTTTGGCTTGCAGAGAAGCTGCACTATGTTCTGATTCTCTTCTAGCCCACAGTGAGCCTGACACCCCACTATGCATCTGTATGCAGAGAAATTTCAGAGAAATTTGGGGGAGGCTCCAAGCTATTCTAGCAGCTGCTCTATAGGAGTCTGAGGAAGTAGAGTGTAAGTGAAGCTTTGGAGAAGTGAAAGTGTGGTTAGGAGGAAATAAAAGAAAAGAGCAAAATAAAAGCATATCTGTAGGGGACACCTGCCATGTTTCCTGGCTGCACAGCATCTACTGAAAGTCCTTCCAGTGTTTGGTGCCTTACAAGCTCATCAGAAAACATATTCCTAGTCTCCCTTGCTGCTAATGCCCTGGCGTGTGACCTGGGCTTCACTCACCAGACATGCTTGTGTGAGACTTAAGATTTCACTTTGAAAGTGGCCAATGTAGGAATGCCAGTGTCATCCAGAATCCATTTCCCGGTGACGATGGTGGAGGGGATGTTTTGTAGGGGCAGTGGCTGAAAGGTCAAATTCCTAGTTCAGAAGTGCTACTACTGGCCGGGAGTAATCCCAGCACTTTGGGAGACTGAGGCAGGTGGATCACCTGAAGTCAGGAGCCTCAGGACCAGCCTGGCTAACATCGTGAAATCTCGTTTCTACTAAAAATACAAAAAATTAGCCAGGTGTGGTGGCACATCCCTATAATCCTAACTACTTGGGAGGCTGAAGCAGGAGAATCGCTTGAACCTAGGAGGCAGAGTTTGCAGTGAGCCAAGATAGCGCCATTGCACTCCAGCTTGAGCAACAAGAGTGAAACTCCTTCTCAAAAA